GAACTACCTCCCCAGCTATGCTTTTTTTACTTCCTACCACATTGTAAAAGGCAAGAAAATAAATAGGGTCTGAAAGTGGGTAGTGTTCAGAGATACCGAAAACAGCTTTCTTAACATAGCCCTGATTCCATACTCTCTTAAACTGTTTTCACACAATGTGAACCAAACCGTGTGTCGTCTTCTGATCTGTCTGTTCCATGCAGCAAGCTCAAAGAAAGTGAGATCTGGCTGGTTTCAGCTGGAGCATTTCCACAAGTAAAGCAGAATATCCCTGGGGGGAATAAAGCTCTCTTAATAAGCTTTTATTCCACTTGACAAAGGAAACAGCAGAGAGTTGTCTAGAGAATTTTTAGGTTTAATCTTTTCTCACCTGTTATTGCAAGAGTGACAGTTCAGCAGCTCTCAGACTATATGAAAGAAAGTCAGGCTTCAGACACCTAGGTTGTAAAAGAACAACAACTGCTCCTGAAGAGCACTGCTTTACACTAACCAATGGGAAATATTCAACAGAGGATGTAGCCAGTACCACTGTCATTTGCAGGAGTAATTCTTGATTTACCTGAAGAAAATCGAGTTGATGATACAGATTATGTCTCATGCTAAATGCAGTCCAATTCAGGGCTCAAAACTTGAGTCTTGTACAAAATTTGTCACAAACAGTGATACTGCTAACATCCATTAATTTTAACCCTTGATATGATTTATTACTCACAAAGCTTGCTTGAATCCATGTAAAAACTAAATTTATATTATTATAACTAACCACTTCTCCAGAGAATATTGTATGGCAGATGTCAGCAAAATCATGAATGGTACTGGCAACATGAGCAGGAAACCATTATTCAGCAATCACAACACCAGAACAGAGAACAGTTAAACACCCTTCAGTGGTATCTTTCACTCTGTGCACAGTTAAATTGTGGAGAACCTTGAACAAAGCATTATCAACATTGAAACACAAATTAATTCAAAGAAGAATTTACAGCACCATGAAAAATTATTAAACATGTTAGGCTCCATGCAGCCTCCTGCTTATCAAATTCCTGTGGTACTGAATACTATGAAGGTGTTCCTGGAGGGAGTTTGCCTAGAAATACCGTACCTATCACACTTCTTCCTAATGTTTTCCCTCTGTTCTACTACATAAGGACCAAAGGAACCATTTAGATTTTAAGTTCCAAAACAGACTAATATATGAGATCAAAATATTAAAACATTTGGAAATCCAGTATGTCAGAAATTACAGTAATTAGGAATCAGTTGATGTGAAGCACTACTTCTGTACGAAGAAAATCGAGCCTATTTGAAAAGATAATGACAATTGTTTGGACCTGCACATCCTGGCTTTTTTTTGTATATCACAATATACCAGCTGAAAAAAAGTGACTACACAGTCGCCATAAAATCATATTTTCAACATGAGCAGATAAAATCAGGAAAACACATAATAAGAGGTTTTTGTAACAGCTGGCTCTTGTGCTGAATAAATTTTTCAACTCCCACAAGAGACATACTGGGTTGCAACTCATATTTCAGCAGTCCATGTTTTTTGGGGTTTTTTTGTACCATGTCTTGAAATAATGAAATCTGTTTTTTCTGTCCGTGATATCACATCAGGGAAATATCAGCAGAAGCATTGGTAAAGACATCAGTTCAGACAGATGTCATTAGCATTCAGTTTTTTCAGATATTCTGACATGACAAAGCAGTATAGTCCCTTTGGTCTGAACCCCAGATCTGAACCAGGCAGACATGGTTCTGTCCAACACTACTCATTCCATGGGCCAAACCACCTTGGAAATGTCTGTGGTTCACTTCAGCTGCAGCATTTTCCTGTCAGCATGATTAAGACCAAATGACTCCTTGTCCTCTTATAGCAGCTTTTGCTGCTACTCTAGGGGTATATGAATATGGTTGCTCAAGAGGGTTTGCCAAGGGAATGATAAAATTATGGAAGTTGTTACTTTAGTTTCTCATGTACAAATGAGCAGGAATGATGAATAGCAGATCCTTTAAGAGTTTCCCTGAAAATGAAATATGTACCACTAAAAGTGTGTTGCTTCTGTCTCTAGTAGTAGAAAAATAAATCCTTTGGTTTTGAGCCTTTCTTTGAAATGTTCTAACTTTATGTTATTGAAAATTTGAAAATACATTTGCAAATAATTTTCAGAAGTTTTCTATAAGTCCCTTTTTAATAAAGATCTAAATTTACAACTAGTAGAGAAACAGTACTTAGAAGTAAGGTGCTATGTCATACACATATCTCCTGTCTACTATGTGAGTTTACAGTATGGAAGTTGTGGACACTACGGAATTTTGTTGGTGATGTCACTTTCCTGCAGTGAGAAGTACATAGAAGAATGCAAAAAACTAAAGGAAAGCATATCCTTAACATATGGCTTTCCTCTGCTGTTTTGAAGAAAACACTCTGATCTGAACAGTTGATAATCAGACAAAAAATTAAGTTTGAAGTGAAATAAATATATCTGTATACAGTCATTATTCCATAAAGGACATAAGTAAACAGGAAAATGAACCTGATTTCTCAAGGTCTCATAGATGCACTGGAAATTATGTATCAGAGTATTTTAAGAAGAAATTATCTACAGTTTTAATGAGGCTGGGCATTTGAAGCAGTTTTGACTTTGACTAGACAAAGTCAAAACTGGTAGCCAGGTTCTTAGAAACACCAGTGAATCTGAAGTAATCCCTTGAATTGTCATGGTGGGAGGAGAGTGTTTTCAGATCTCCCTTCTAATGGAGAAAATATTCCTGAAAAAGTCTTTCTGGCTGATGGAAAGAATGACTACTGAGAAGAGGTTGAGTGGGTAGTTTATTGACTAAACAATTAGGGGTCTATTACAGCCAGCAAGGCATCTTGCTGTTCTGAGGTACTTCTCATTGATGCTGTTAAATTGGTCTGACTGGTGGTTTTAATTACTTTTTAATTATTGTTTTTAATTAAGTGCTGGCTTAAGTGCTATCTGTCAGAGGGATTGCACTTCTGAGTGGCAACCCTGGATTAAAAATGAGTGATTCCGGAAAGCCTACTGCATAACAGCAGTTGTTGATAGGAAGATTAATTCATGGGTTTGTGCTTATTCATTTAAATTATATTTAAATTTTATTTTTAAACAATAAAAAGGGAAATGTCTATGAAAATAAGTATTTTTCTTTATGACACACTTCAAATACAGCATTAGAGAGCTGGAAGGGGTATCACAAGTTCATCTAACCCTTCCAGCCTACCTCAGGGAAAGCACACATTTACTATTCCTGACAGATCCTTGTCCAGCCAGCTCATTGATGACCTGCAACAGACACAAATCTGCCTTTTCCACTGCTTCATCAAAGCCTTTGTAATGGCTACTCTAAATATCCTTCTTGTTCTTCAACTACATTACTTCTACACATGTCCGATTCATCCAAGGAGAACAGAGTATATCATCACTACCTTTGTGAGCAGCCTTTTACGTGTCTGAAGACTGTCACAATGCTCCCTCCCTTCCACTGTACCTATCCCACTCTGTGTTTTCTTCCTGAGCCATGACTTCCAAACCCCACCCTTGCTATTCTCCACTGGATTCTTTCTGATCTGTGTATTTTTTGCCAACAGTCACTTAAAGAGATTTCTATGCCAGCAAGTGCTGAGTAGAGAGGTTGCTGTGGGTGTTGCAATTCTGCAATATGGTAAATGTTCAGCTCAGCTTCATTTGAAATATGGATTACCAGTACCCAAAAGATGAAACTCTTATGAGATCTCGCTGAAGTAAATGTTAGAAATGTGCATAACTGTACACAGCTGTATGCAACAAGTGATGAGGGATAAAAAGCTGGTGGGACGTCCCATGATGCTGGTGGCACGACACACACGCCACATTTTGCATGCTCCACAGTTTTCCCTCCTGGGAGATGCCACTGCAATATCGGCAGCTGCCCACCCTCACAAGGAGTCAGAGGCAGCAGAAAGCACGAATTTCCAAAGCAAGTACTTGTTAGAAATAACTGCTTCACAGGAGAAAGGGAAATATAATGAGGAGGGTGAACAAAATTTTTGCATTGTTGAACTGAGGACCTACAAAGTCAGCACAGGTAACGAAGATACTCCAGAGTATTTTTGAAAACAGGCTAAGTGCAGCTCGGTTAAAACGGGCTCTCTCACGCCCATCGACTTAGAGTGACTTTACGCGAGTGACTTCAGGCTTGAGCCGAGGGAGCAGTCTGAGCGAGGACACGTTCCCGGCTTAGCGACACGTGCCGGGTTACACA